GCTACCAGTTTAGCTTAGTCGACAGAAAGACCACTGCATGCTGTGCTGATATAAGGCTTGTGTTAAAAAAATAAAGGGAAAGTTGTACTATAATTTGCAACAAGAGTTTAGGGAGACGTACTGGCAATTCCAGTCGTTCTGACAGGACCACCCGCAATTGCTGAAAGTTTTCAAAAATATGACCCGCCCTGAACAATGACTCGTGACAATGACAATGGTCTATCTCTTTTAACTTTCCTAAATGAATTGTTATATAAATATACCTGGATATTGAATTAGGAATGACGTCCGGTTTGCGAACATTCGTCACAGCCATGATGCAGTTCTATTTTGGGTCATATTCCGCCCATCTGCGTTGACATTGACACAAGTTTACACTAGTAACTGCTACCAGCATAATACCTTTCCCCCACGTGTTTACACGGTATTGATAGACTGGACGTAAAGACAAGTTACATTCATTGTGTGAAAGGGCAAAGTAATGTACTGTGTTAAATTACCGGCGTATAACGACATTATAATCATTCAACACAGTGGTGGAACAAACTACTTGATTGTAATTAAAGTAACGGAAAAACGTTTACTTGAAGACGGAGATACCTGCAGTACACAGGTGGTCACTTTGCCAGCGCTGAGAACTGCGTGATAATTTTAAAATATTCATTTGATGGGTTTTTTAAATAAATGCATTAATATAAAAAAACGAACTCTGTGGTGGCGTATTCTCTTGAATTAATAATTCCTGCTTTAATTTGCTCATAACGTCTTTAAGATTTGTAAAATATTCACATCAATAATAGCACAATTCTTTCTAAAAATTTGTCTACGTCTGAATGAATTTGTCTATGGATACGATCACTATGTACCCCCTCCTTCCGGTATTCCGCACTCGTTTTGCGCCATTTTAAACGTGTAACTCCCTGATAAGCTGTCCACGGTGAGTCGCATATTCGCGATGATGTTAAATTCGTTTGGATTCAGAATTATTAAAATCTCGCGGCACATCATACTCAGGTTCCCGAGACTAAATGTTTCTTAAAATGTATTCAACATAAGTCATTTAATTTTTTTTCACGTTCGTTTATTTTTATACCGGCCGCATTCATGTACGGCAATAATCAACGGCGCCCCAAACACATAAGTAAGGAGGTGCAATTTGCGATTAGAATAACATATAAGTATATTAAATTAACACAATTTAACCAACAATTTAAAACCTTGTATATGTAAAACATATATGTAAACCCCTCACAAAACAGGTGTTTTAGAACTGGGTTGGGAATACACGGTATTTTGTAAAAAGAATGTTTATGAATAGGCATATACTAAATGTGATATCAAACATTATGTGTCATTGTATGAGAGTGTTTTTTACTATAAAGTGTGAATGAGTATCTGGTCGCGTCATGCTGTGCTATTGTCAGTGAATGAAAATAGCTTTCTTCGAACGTATGGGGAACTAGCCGGGATACAGTCGACCAACGACAATTCTGCGCAATCGAGTCTGAGCGTTTTCAAGATGGTATATGGGACTATGGAATCAGATTAGAAGGAGAATGAATAATACAAAACAAGTCATTTGTATTCGTTGATTGTGTCGACAACAAACAAATGTCACGTGATACAGGTACACAAAGTACACTGAAAGTCGACCATGTTATTATAGCCGGTAGAAAATTGTTTCGCTGCTTCTTACCGCCGTTACACAGTTCCCTGTTAAGAAACGCTTCGAGTTCCATTGTCACAATGCGTGTTTCGCGTTCGTAAAATTAACTTACCGGTAATCCCCACAATATCAACATTAACAAAAAGTTAGCATATTGTATGACTTCATTTTCACCTCGAATACCATAAGATTCAATTCTACACAGTCGTACACAACGCTGACGTCCAACCTAGGTACATCTGACATTGCGTCGGGTAAAGGTTTCCACTAGTTTTTATATCTGGTTTTTCCTTGGCGGTCGATGTATTCGCGATTGGGCTTTAGCATGAATTATTTCGTCTATGTTAACATATGTAAGGGGAATACCTGTAATAAACATGTGTGGCTCCTGGATACTGCAACCATCGCATACTACATTTCATACTTGTCGTGTAGTTTGTACGAATAATTGAAGTATAGTATAGATTAGTCCCAGAAAGCGTTACGTGTCACGTGATAGTGTGAAGTTATTGATGGTATGATGGGCGCAAAAAAAAACGACACAGATGTACACGACACACACACCTGATA